ATTGTCCATTCTCTTAGCAAATTCCTGCTTCAAGCTTGCAGCTGCTCAATATTTGCAAAATCACATTTAGCTTGTCCTGTGTAAGGAAAGTCTGTAAGGGACTTTGACAGAAAGTACCATATGTACCTTTTCTTTTCTTTTCTTGGGGGGAGGGTATTAGATATATTTTGCAGTCATCATCTAAATCAAGATTTGGCACACATTTCATAGGACTTTACTGTAGAGGGGAACTAATATAGCACAGTTTCAGGAAATTGGAATTTGATCTGCTTAAAGAGTAATTATTGAGGCAGGGAGGCAATGTGGAGCCATGTGGAGCCTTGGTTGACATGTGCCTAGGACAGTGGCGGACACACTTTCTAGAGATTCTCTTGGAAACTATGGTCTAGGAAGACCAGATGTGCCAAATGTCAGATTTTGCAACCTATGCTCAGGTTCATGTCTTCTAAAAGACTGCAAGCTGGAAAAGGAACTGAGCTCATGAGCTGGGAGTGTGGAAATTGCCTATGAAGGAACAATGCACTGTGATGAGCAGCACTGGTTCTGAGCAGAAATGTGTCCCCAGATGCTGCTGTACCCAGGATGAATGGTAGGGTTCAGGCTCTAGCTCCAAGTACTGTGTCGAAGCAATATGGCACCAAAATTTGACATTTTGAAACACAGATTGTGGTGCTATCCAGCACAGCAGATCACACTGTGTAGCTGAAAATAAAGCAGGGAATTTCCAGAGGTTATGGTATACCATTCTTCCCGGGGGGGGGGGGGGGGCGGGGGGAGAGGGGGGCGAGAGGGTGGGAGCTGGGGGAAAGCCATTTGCATGAATTTCCTAAAAGACTAAATTGATTGTAATATTTCTCTTGAAAAATATAGGTTAAATAATAGCCTTCCCCCCAAAAAATTACCTGTGTAAGTAGCAGAGCAGTTCAAACCCAGGTTTGCTTGGTGAGAGAATGGAACTCCTTATTCACATAATGTTGTTTTGGTGGCCCAAGTCATCTGGAGTCCTCGTCTATGCCTCAGATCTACAGTCTTCTTGATCCATGTCTGCACTCAGACCTTCTGTGCACAGGTGTCTTCTACACTAGTAACACTAACCCAACTAGAGAGAAGCCCAACTCCTAAGTGATATCTCAAGCCTGCAATCATTCTAGTAAAAATATGATACTTTTAGTACTAGCTAACATTCTTTTTATTTATTCATGCACTATGGTTTGAAAAGTTGTTCATATTGCAGTTATTATGGGTATTCAGTATCCCAACACCAATCCTGCCACCAAAGTAAACTTCCTTCTACCATGTCCCCATTTTCCCAACCATTATTCCAAGGTTTCTCCCTTAGCAGAACAAAATAATTTATTTTATATTATTGCTGCAACTAAAGGGCTAATGGAACTATTGAAAATGCTACAGTAAAGAAAATTTGTGAAAATCGTTATATCACATCATGAAGTCATTAAGTCTTTGAGGTTTACTAAGCCGTTTGTTATTAATTGAGCCTTCTGATTTATTGAACTTAGTTGACTTCTATTTTCTTTTTCATTTAATTTAGTGTGAGTGGGATGTCAGTATTATGGAACTTGGAGTTGTTATGTGGCCACATATGAGTCTCCACGTTCCAGAAACTTTTAAGATCTCTAGAACTGGGTTGAAGGGTTTACATGATGGTGGATCTGAGATATTGGTGAGGCTGTCCCAGCTTCGAGAAATACATGGGCGGAGGAGAGGAGTACCCCAGACCAAATCAGAAAAGACCTCAGAGTTCATGGGAGTTTTTTCAGTTTGACTTCTCTACATAGATTAGTCAAGAAGCAGTGGACCTGGGCCATTGGCATAGTGGAAGCTGTGGGTTGTGGGTACAGATATTGGGGCTTCAGCAGAACAGGGAAGACTAGCCAACATTATTAATCAAAGTGCAGTTGTCACTTTGTACAACTTTAAGAGATGTTACTTGAGGCTAGAGTATAGGGATTAGGCACTTGCCTTGCATGCTGCCATTTCTGGTCTGTTTCTTGCCACTGTTTGATCCCCCAAGCATTGCTGGGAGTAATCCCAGGATGCAGAGATGAAAGTATCCCCTGAACACTGGTTGCCATGACCCTCTATTTCCCAATCATCCCCTTCCCCCTGCCATACACACAAAAGATAAAACTTGAAAAGATAAGAATAAGTTTAGTGAGTGAAGAACCAAAGTAAAAAAGATATAGTGAGATCTAAAGAAATGAATGACACATAATCCCAGGATCTAGAAAACACCTATAACACTTAAAATAACAATAACTAGCATGAAGAGTACTCTATTCAAAAGTAGCATGTTCCAAGTGAAGATGAACACTAGGAGGTGAGAAATTTTTATCCTGGTACCTTCTTCTTCATACCCAGATAACTGTGTGACCTCCAAAATCATCTAAGTGTTTCGACTTCATTAAGGCTTTGGGCCAAATTATACTTGTTTAAATTATCTTCAAGGTTCTCCGACCCATGTAAATGGTACTTGGATTGTGTCAAAGAGTTTGTACTCTTAGAGGATACATTTGTTTTGTAGTAAGTCAGTCAGAGTGACTCTTCTTGGGAGAAGTCAGATTCATCCTCACAAATTGTATGCCTTACTCTGAATACTCGTGATCATCCCCAGCACAAGTACTCTCTTGGCCTTCTACAGCTCTCCTTCTTTGCTTATGCACTGATTTCTCACCATCTCCATTCCTTACCTTTTACGTTTGTATAGCTTGTGCTTATCCGGTGGTATGATGATGATGTCTGTGTGGTCACAAAATCCTGTCATCTTTTACTTCTTTCTGAGTCACATATCAAGCCAAAATCCATGCCCCCCGAGTGCCCTGTAAATACATTATTGTGCATACACACAGACATGTACATTTATTTACAGACAATTTTCTAATAATGCATACTCAACTACATGACTTTAAGAATAACTTGCATAAATGATGGTGCATTTACTACCTAATTGCAGAGCTTTAATAGCAGCATCAGCCATTCTTACAAGTCGCTAAGACTCACAGCTAAGTGGGACATTATGGCAAGAAGCTAAAGGGATTTTACTCTGCATTTCCTGTGTGCCTACCCCTTTATGGGATCACTCTTACCTCTTGTAGCAACTCTGTGATTAAACTGAAGCTGACGGTACTGAGCTAATTAAAGATATTTGTCTGATCTCAAAGCAGAACGATATCTGCCTCTACCAGATTGTTCGCTTAAAACTTGACTATTAAAAATTGACTATTTCTCCACTCTCCCTTGATAGCCACTAACGTTTCACCTATGTGAAGGGTAACTGGCCCCAAAAACATAAACTTCAGCTCCTATTAAGCTCTTCTATGCTGATGATTCTGTCTAGGTTTAATCTCATCTTCCCCAAGTACCTAGAGCACTTATGTATATAATCACACACACTTGTATTACTAAGATTTCTGTTTGGCTAAGGATGTCTTTATATTGACTCTGAAGACCCAATGATAAGTGGGACCTGTCTCCGCATGTCTTTGAGACCTTCCTTTCATAGTATATATTATGGTCCTTGATGGGTACGTTGTGTTTGGAGTGTCCCTTGCTGTATATTTGTTGTATTGTATCTAACCCTCTTCTGTAAGTGTAAAGTTAGACAACACAAATCCTTTTATGACTTCATGTGTCACAGGGAATAGAGACATCTCCTTTTAGCCAAATTATTTTGTACCTTCATTTAGAGAGTGGAGTTAGATAGCACAAAAATTGTGTGATGTTAGTAAATTGGGGTTCTAAGATTTGGTTAGAAAGCAAGTATGGAAGTTCAGGTGACTGAAAATTTTTGCCTGAAAGTTTAAAGTGAATCTTAATTTTGTATTTTGGAAATACCAGTTTGATGAACTAAGTATCCTATCTAATTGTAACGTCTCCATTGGAGACTTTTGTTGTTACTGTGTCTGGCATATCGAATACTCTCGGTAGCTTGCCGGGCTCTCTGAGAGGGGCGGAGGAATAGAACTCGGGTCGGCCATGTTGGCCGCTTGTAAGGCGAACGCTCTACCCGCTGTGCTATCGCTCCAGCCCATCCTATCTAATAAAACTCATAATTTCCCATCACACGGACACAGTGTTAGAAGGCTTAAATCAAGTGCCAGGGATTTCTGGTCGCAATCCTTATCCCCACATGCAGTAATATCAGCAGGCAGTTATGAAGAGGCCATGGTGGACCAGATGCTGAGCTATGAGCTTATGAGACCATTCATTACTCTGCTCCCTGAGTAGCAAGCTGTGAAATCAGTGATAAATGCAGCAGTAGGAAAGCACATGTCCTCAGAGAAGGACATATCATGAGTGGAAGAGGCCAGCATATTTTGGCAGAGGGAGAAGGAGGTGGACCATTTCCATTAATGTCTATTAAGTGTCTGTTACACTTCAAGATACACTTGACCCACATAAGTGACAAACCTGCCAGAGGTCCTGGCCTTCCTGAAGCTTATGTTCTAGAATATCTGCCAGGGTTAAGGAGACAGTGATGCTCTTTCTGAAGTATCGGGCAACACTTGGACTGTTAGATGGATGGGAGCCAGCTGTGAAAAGGTGCTTTTTTCTTAGAGGGCACTGAGGTGTCAGACTTCATCAGTGAGGTTCTCTGAGGTGACCCTATGGCAGGAACCAAGGGCATTTGGATCCATTGAATGATAATTAAACCAAAACTTCTTTTTCCTGGTTGCTAAGGTTTTGACCTCCTGACTAGGTGCCTCGTTGGTGGAGTGTCTTACTCAGTGCTAAATCAGAGGGAAGGTCATTTCTGATGCTGAAGGTAGCCTTGGATGTTATCATCCAAAGGGAAAGGTTTCATCCCCAGACTCAGGGACTCCTGGCCAAAGCTTTTCAGAGGTCCCAAGTAAACGCTCTGAAAGCAGACCTCCTTATACCATCATTTCCCAGGAGCCCTGTTTGCAGCCAGGAGAAAGAAGTTCTGCTGATTCTGGTGTAGACTGCAACTAATCTGAGCACTTGTGCTTCTCTCTTTTCAGACTGTTCTGCCATGACCACAGCGCGCTACAGGCCCACCTGGGACCTGGCCCTCGACCCACTGGTGTCCTGCAAGCTCTGCCTCGGGGAGTACCCTGTGGAGCAGATGACCACCATTGCCCAGTGCCAGTGCATCTTCTGTACTCTGGTGGGTCTTTTGGAGGAAACCTCTGTTTCAAAGAATTTCAGGATGAACCCTATGCTTTTGGTTTTAGAGAAACTACACAAACTTTTGACCACTTTTTCTAGTGGAGGAGGATTTGTGAGGATTTGTGAGGATTCTACGTGCTTATCTGAGAAATTCTCTTGCATATCAAGCAGACTCCTAACAGTGCAGATTTTCATCACATTTTTTGTTTTGTGTTGCAAAAGAAACCAGTTTAGCACCATTTTAAAAACAAGGAACACAACTAATAAATCTTTTAATGGCATGTAGTCTACTTTCTGAAAAGAAAAAGTTTTACCACACTTCATTTTAAACTTCGTTGAACACATACCTGATTGCAGTATTAACAGTGTTAAGCTAGTGAGTATATATATAACTAGAATATTCCACCATATGAACTTTTCTCTGGTTCAGTGCTGAAATGGAACGTATATATCTTGATAGCACATGTGAATGATCCTAAGAGGTGTTCAGCACTGCACTGGGTATATGGGGTCATGTGATCTGTTCTTAATGATGGAAGATTCTTGCATAATCATTAGACCTAAGTCATACCCACACCTTTTCTCCTCAGAAAAGGAAAATAAGGGTGTAGAACTTAAAATTCAAAAATCGTCACTTAATTTTACTTTTTCAAAGTCCAGGGGGGGAAAAGACCAGTTTCTTAAATTGATAATAGAATAAAAAAACCAGTTTCTGAGTTCAGCTGTATTATAAAGGGACTGTATGGAATGCCTGCCAATGTACTTAAAATGTCTGCTCTACTGTCCGTGGTTAACTTTCCTCTGCTATTTTACACTGCTCGTGTTCTTCATTCTTGCCTATATCTCAAAGATCTCATTTTATTTGTGTCTTATGATCTTGAGGTGCTGACACAACCCATATTTCCCATTTAATAAATAAGAAAATGGAGCTCTAATACATAGATATGCTTCTTCTGACTTCTGTTTATGCCAAACTCTGGCATTCAGAGGAACAAAAAATTCTCTCCCCAAATGTCTGGTTTCTTGCAGGCCTCATAATAGGTAATCAATAAAGGCTCACCAGATTGAACCTCAGTAAGTCTGTCTTAGAGCTCTAGTTGACAGACAAGCAATGTGCCTCATTAGTGCTGCAGGAAAGTGACTTCAATCCAGAGGACAGGAAATCACTTTTGACATTTTTCTGACTTGGCAGAGAATAGGAGGGAGGGATGGAGAGACAGATTTCCATCCAGTTGACACAATGAATTGGGCTCATTTTCATTTTGAGAGGATGCGGTAGAATAGTTGAGCACATCAGGGTGGATTAAATAATTAGCTTTGCGAAAATTGCCTTCCTCTTGCCTGTGGGAAAGTTTTCCACAGTCTTCCAGTTGGATAGATTCTTCCTTTTTCTTTGCCCAGGTCGTGTCTTTGGGCCCCGTGTCTGTGTCTCCTGGTCATCTGTGTGTCTTCAGAGGGAATGGCCTCTGAGATCATGGATTATTTGCTTTCCTTTAAAGTAGAACATTCACCCTTGCATTCTTACCTAGTCCTTCTTTTTTGTTGTTACTGTTTTAGTTTTTTATTTCTAGATAATTTTGGTTGTTTTTATTTTTATAGCAACTAGCAGCTCCAATTCAAATCAAACACTTATTTTAAGTCTGTCTGTGACTAAGGGAGGAAAAGATCACTGTTTTCTTAGAGAGAGGCTGCTTGAACGACCAAGAAACCTTGGGGTCAGTGTGTTTTTTTTAAAAAATAACCATTTATTAAAAATCAAGCTTTTGTGCCAGAGAGGTAGAACAGTGGGTAAGGTATTTGATTACATGTGGCTGATCCAGGTTTGATCCTTAGCACCCTATGTGGTTACCTGAGCCCTGCCAGAACTGAACCCTGAGCGCAGAGCCAGGAATGATGCTCTGGACATCAATACATATGCCCTCCAAAAGAAAATTTGACTGAAATGTTGATGAGAGTTATGCTTCACGGTTTATTGAAGTGTGGCTTTAAGGAAACAACTTTATGTTGCCAGATTATGAGGTGGGGTTGTGGTTGAGGCACGTAACCTGTGACCATGTGGTCCTCAGGCTACTCTTTAGTATCTACCTCAAGTGCCTCAAGTGTCTATCCTAAACAGATGCTGGGGAGGAGCCTGAGCCTGTGGGGCAAAAGAGTAGTGCCTTTGTTTTTCTTAGAGGGAGAAACACAGGAAGGGAACAAAGAGTGAAGAAAGAAATGGTGTCTCATCCTTACAAGGCTTCTGCACTTTTACTAATGAAGTTGTGTATTGTTCTACAGCTACCAGCATTGGAGAGCATAGTTACATTCTATTGTTTGGGTGACATGCGACCAGAAAAGTTGAGGTGTTGTTTCCACCTCAATATAATAGATACCCTGTGATTGGAGAAGGTAGAAATAGCTGCATTTCTCCTTGCCTGTAAAAAAATAAAAGCATGGAAATTATTTTGCTTTAACCATGAGATGATGCAAACTGAATAAAATGCACACAAGTACACACATAAACATTTTTTTGCCTGAAACAACAAGAATATCTTTCCCAATATTAGTTATTTTGTGATGACTGGGAATTTCACTAGTAGAACCAAGAGTATTGCTTTGATAAATCACTTGATCATTTGACTTTCCGTTAATCATCGATTTGCTTGAGGGAACACCAGTAACGTCTCCATTTGTCCCTGTCGCGTGCTAATGTAGCCCAATGGTGTTTGTTCATTCTAGGAATACAAAGAGTCTCAAACTGATAGTTCAGGATCTTGATGAAGAAGTCTGACCATCTGGTAGGTGGGCGGCCACATGGTCTTTTGACGTCCTGTAGAATCCAGTCAGTACGGTTCTAGTCCAGTGTTCATCCTCAAATCTCATTACGTGTCCAGCCCATCTGATTTTTGATGCCTTGACAAATGAGACAGAGTCACTTGTTCTTGATCGTTGACAGAGGTCAGAACTCCAGATTCTTTCTCTCATTTGAGTGAAACGTGAAACTCCAAGCATAGCTCTTCTGATTCCTCTTTGGGAGACCCAAATACCGTTCTCATCCTCTTTGTGTAGGGCCCAGGTCTCTTAGGTGTATGTTAATGCAGGAAGGTCAGTGGAATCAAAGAGATGTGCCTGGAGCCGGAGGTTCTTCGTCCTCTTAGCTATTTCTTCGAAGCTCTTGAAGGCGTTCCAAGCCGCTCTCTTCCTCCTGCGCAACTTAGGTGCCAGGTCATTTGTCATGTTGACTTCTCGACCTAGGTTCACATAACTGTTGCATTTGGAGATGTTCGTTTCATTGAGAGCGAATGGAGCGTCAGGAATGAGGCTGTTTCTCATAAACATTGTCTTCGATAAATAAACTTGGGAAATTCTATTTTAAAATACAACTTTTAGTGAACAATATGTGTAGGGGGTAGCAGCAATTAAAAAACAAACAAATAAAAGGCCAAAAAAAAAAAGACCCATGGTTGTTTTAAGAAGAAGTGGGACTTTGGTTTAATTGAATTTTGTGATTGAATATACACTTTACAATTTTAACCTAAATCTTTAACCTACATCCAAGTCTTGGTGTTCTTATGTTTATAGATTTTCAACCTCCTGAACAAAATGATTGAGTAAATGTATATAAACTACCAAGCTGAAGCATACCTTGTGATAAGTAAGGCGAACATCATTTCTTAATCTTCCAACCCATTGCTACAGCTGCGAAAGGTGCTGTGAAATGCTACTGAGACCCCACACTTCCAATTACTTGTTATAATGATGTTTTTCTCACCCTGCACTGAAACTGAACATAGCATGTCCTCTCATCACTATCATCTTTGCATTTTGCGAACAGTGCATTGTGGGTATTTTTTCACTTCCATTTTCCAATCCTTATTAAATGCCTGCCTGGTGTCAAGTGACCTGGACACTTAGTGAAGATTAAAGATGATAGTCCCTGAACTCCCAGACCCCATTATCAGGAGGAAGGCAAAGTCTAATTGTCATCTGGGATGGAATTAGCTAAACGTTCAGTCTCTATCAAAGCACATAACAGCATGGGGAAGGAATAATCAATATTTTGTGGTCAGACTCAGGCGTGTCACTTGAAGTAGGTTTGAAAGGAAGTAGGAAGTGTGAGCTACTACAGAGGAATAGCCAAAGAAGGTATTATATGATGTGACAAGTGAGAGGATTTTGTTGAGTTTTCCAGTTTCTCAGGTATGTATGTGGCAGTGCATCATTATGGATGTGGAGTGGTGCTTGCATGATGGTGTATAGAGGACAGTGGTGCCTTTGTTCCCATGAACTGACCACACAGAGCTCACCTCCTATCACTTCCTTCCTAGGTCAGGGCAAAACAGAAAGGGAACTAGAGAACCAACTTTTCTAGTGGGACCAAATTTTCTGTTTGGCATTATTTGTGTTAATAGCCAAGCTTAAGACTTTGGGCCCTAGATAATCTTGGCTCTTCCCAGGGTAACTCTGTATTTTGTAGAGATCAGAACCTAGCAATAGGCTAGAAATCCCTGGGCTCCAGTGACTTCCCCATAAACATTTTCCTTCAATATTGTCATGGGATATATTCTTGGGGTATTGCAGATACCTTTCAGCAGAAATAATAGGAAACTGAAAAGATTAGGTGTTTTTATTATTTATAAGACCTATACAGCACATCTGGGCCCCAGTGAGGTCATGGGATGAAGGAATAGAGAAAGGGAAAAGGTGCCCATACGTATGTGTGTGTGTGTGTGTGTGTGTGTGTGTGTGTGTGAGAGAGAGAGAGAGAGAGAGAGAGAGAGAGAGAGAGACGTTTGAGCCACCAGGGAGAGCCTGGGGCTGAGTTCTATTTTTCTAGAAGCTTCTAAGCTCATTATTACTAAATTTAAATCATAAGAGAATTTAAAGCTTGGAAGAGAGATAAGAAAGAGGAAAAGGGAAGAAGCTTAAGTTATTCCAGCTGGTGAGTTATCTAAATCAAATATGACCCATGAAACAATGGTACCTCCATGGAAGGGGGAGCCTGGTTTTTATCTGGTT